GAGTCACAACTCAGAGCTGGAGAAAGCTGGAGTTAGGCGCTTGCTTTGATACTCCGGAGAGGAGGTCATAGTACGAGTACGATGCAGGGAAGCAGAATAGTGCAAAAAGGATGTGGAATGACCCCAGAGGGACGTAACAGGACTGAAAGGAGTGGAAGGTGACACCCGGGTTCTTCCTGGACCAGGGGCTGATAAAGGGGTCAGGTGCTCAGTCCGGGAAAAGTTAGCTGGAAAACCCATTAGGAGGAAATGCGCAACTTAAACCACAAGTTCACTCCTGGATGTGAGGCATATCTGGAAAGCAATTAATTACACAACTCCAGAAAATGTTCAGCTTTATTTAAAAAAAAAAAAAGGGGTGGGGGGGACAAGATGATAGGGAGGCTAAAGAGGAACCCAGAGGCGACAAGGGGGCTGCTGTGTCCATCCTGAAGGCTCCACTGGGGAAGAAGGATGGCCGCGCTCCGAACCTCTGGGGGACACAGCAGCCGCTACCGCCGCTACCGAGACTCACCTGCGCCTTGCGGCGGCTGCCGTTAGTGCCTTTGTGAGGCTGCTGGGGATAGGTTAAGTTCAGCCTTGGCTGATCATTCAGCAGCGCTGCGACAGGAGGGAGCGTCTTCACACACACAGTTGGCATGGAATCTAGAATTCACAATCATCGTCACAGGCATTTCTTAGGCTCTGCTTAGATACACAGAAATACCCTGAACTTTGTTCTTCCTGCATGCATGCCCGGGACTTTTTTTCCCCCCTGCCTCTTTGCACAGCTTCCACAGTCCCAATCCTTCGTCTCCTCAATCTTTTATTTTGCAAAGCCATAGGGAGTGGCGGTAGCCTGTAGCTAGCTGAAGATTTCGAACAATAGGTGTTTCTGAGCCGAGTTTATTGAAACGGTCTTGTCTGTGTCGTGGGGGCGATTGTAAATGAGATGTCAACAGGAGCCCTTTTGTGTGGATGGCATTCATCCGGCCGGAGAGGGATTCGCTTGCTGCGCTCCTCTTTTAAAGCAGATTTGTTGCTGCTTTCGCTCAAACTTTTTATCCAACGGCAGGCGCTCACAGCAAAGAATGAGTCACTCAGTGTGATTGTAACTTCCTTCCCGCCTCAGCAAAGCAATGACTCAGTCATTTACATTTAGAAAGGAAGGCTCCTAAGAAGATTTCGTGGGTTTTCAGCTGCGTGAGCCTCTTTTCTTGGCCGTCACGTGGGCCAGATCTGTCAACAATCCTGTTAGCCCCGACTGGGGGCAGTCCGGCCAGGCTGTTTTTCTCACTCCCTGGAAAACTTCTTGCTGTTTCGCTGGCTTTCTTTTTTCAATCCAAGGAGAAAGACAAACACAACTGCCTTTCTTCCTCCCTCCTCTTTTTTTTTTTTTTTTTTCCTGTGAAGGCAATTTCAGTTTACTATAATTACTGCAGGCTGAGGTCTGCGGAGCCCCACCCTTAGACGATAAGGCAACCGTTCTATTACCTCTCAGCCAGGTGCCCGAGGGTGACAAGGCATGCCTTTATCTGGCGACCTGACAAGGTTATCAGCAGCAGCAAAAGGGCTGAACCTTGGAGCTGCGGCCATCCAAATGCTTCCCTGCCCCGGGATCCTTGTTCCAACCCCTTTATGGGTAGTTAATTTCAATCCCAAGACTCGCTCGACTTTCCTCAAGGTTTTCCGCATTCCTGCTCCCCAGCCTGGCTGGTTGGGTTCCGCTTGCAGCAGAAGCACAGTAACAATCATAACCGCGAGCGGTGTCAGCCACCACGAGGAATCAAGGCCACAGCTGGAGCGTGAAACCTCAGCCACAGCCCCAAGCAGATGGCATCATCTGGCCTAGCAGATCTGCAGTGTTTGTAGAGGATTTCTCAAGGTGAACGGGACTTAACATCTTAGACCTAGGATGGTGGACAACTTTTAAAAATCAGAGAGTCTTTGATTTCTTGGTTTCCTTGTGAGCCTCAGAAACAAAATCCACACCAGCAGGCAGTGCAGGGCTTGTCTGAGGCAGTAAAAATGTCTGCCTCCACTCAGACCTAACGAAGTGTACATTAGCAAAGTTCATAGAAAATCTGAATTCAAAGGGAAGTTTATTTTGGTGCAGAAACACCTTGAGCCTCATGCAGTTCTTGCCACAACCTGCATTTTCCACATACTTTTTGAAAGACCCTGCATCGGCAATGGTTTTCAAATCTTTTGGCATCAAGACAAATCTCTTTTCATTCTGTTTTCTGTGAATTCGCTGAAGTACCTCGCTAGGTCCACCCTCTACATCAGTTGATTCCATCATTCAAGCTGTGTTACACAGATGATCTCAGTTACCGCTTGGGTTGGTATAAAAACATGCATTTTTCGGAAAATGATTTCCAAACGAAGTATAACGGGGTAGAGCTTTCATGAATGAGGAGAGGGCCTGTGCAGAGAAACTTTAAGGCCAGTGTCCTGCACCGCATCAAAAACAGCTGGAGCCCAGCCTGGACCCAGCACTGGCTGCCCTCCTGTCAGTACAAATTACACGTTGAAGAATGGGAGCTTTATTTATTCTGTTATCTGTGAAGTCAGACTGTAGCCCGAGGGTAAGGGGTGGGACAAAAGGGAGGGGGTAGAGAATGGGAGGAGTTAAAAAAAACAGGCACACCCCCTTTGCAAATATGAAATGTTATTTTCCACAAAGGCAAGTCGGCCACATAGTACCGAACACTGTGGGAAGAGGACAGTTAAAAGCCCCTACTAGTGCCCTAGTCCCATCAGCATGAAAACCACCGAAGGATGTGTCTGAGGATAGTGTGTGAAACACGCACAGTATGCTGAGTCTGTGAACATCCAGATGTCCAACAGGAGAAACTAAGTCAGAAACGTGAGGAGTCTCGAGGTCAGTGTTGTGGCACAGCAGGTGAAGCCACTGCTGGCACCACGAGCCCCATAATGGAGTGCTGGGTCAAGGCCAGCTACTGTGCTTCCGCTTTATCCAGCTTCCTGCTAGTGGGCCTGGGAGGCAGTGGATGATGGATGCTAGCGCTCCCGCTGCCTGCCTGGGAGACCCAGGTGGAATTCTGGACTCCTGCCTTCGCCCTGGCCCCATCCTGGCTGCTGCAGGCATCTGGAGAGTGAACCAGTTGATGGAAGACCTCTCCTCTCTCTCTCTCTCTCTCTCTCTCTCTCTAGCTCTGCCTTTCAAACACATAAATAAATCTTTTCTTTTAAAGTTCCTGGAAAGGGTATTATGAAAAAAAAAGTATGCAAAGATTTCTAAAATTGTTGTTCCAAAGTAAACTTACCTTTGAATTCCACTGTCCACTTTTTAAAGCACTCTGGAGTGATCAGATCTGACTTTAGAGACATAAAGCCTTGCACACCCAGCACCATCCAGTGCTCCATCGGCACAGCGCTCTACAGATGGGAGCTCTCGCTGCTCCAGGGCATTGAAGGCAGGGTGTGTGTGTGTGTGTGTGTGTGTGTGTGTTTGGATATCATTCCTTCAGTGGCAAGTCTGAAGGCTATTAGCCCAAACATGCATGACCTCGGTCTGCAGACAGGTTCCAGAATTTGATAAAGGAGTAGTGCCCTTGACCCAGCTGGGCAAGCTCTGCATATTAGCCATCCGCAGTCCACAGAGTGCAGAATCCCAAGCACATCTGGCTCAGAGGGCTGCAGTTAGAGGCTCACTGACCCAGACACTGTTCTCCAAGTGTTCACAGTAGAACCTTAAGGATGGAAGCAGAAGGCTGCTCTTTCAGGCCTAAGTAGGGAGCCAGCTTGCTGCCCGTGCAGACCCTGGGAGGCAGTGTGATGGCTCAAGTTGTTGGGTTCCTGCCACCCACGTGGGAGACCTGAATGCCTTTGGAGAGTGAACCAGGGAATGGGATCTCTCTCTCTCTCTCTCTCTCTCTGCCAAATGCATTTAAAATAAAAATAAAGATAAATAAGGAGGCTTTCGTGAGAACAAGTCCAGTTCTGGTCTGACTCCACCCAGGCGAACTTGGGTGAGTAAGCTCTGGGGCCTCCTTTTCATCTGCGGAGTTGAGATCATAACCTCCTCTGCAGGGCTGCTTTAAGAATTTAATGAGCCTCTCGCGAAAGCCCTTGGCTGTATTATTAAACACTCACTGAAGGAGGAGCAGGAGGGGCTGGGGAGAGTAAACTGATACAGGTTCCTTTCTGCTGGCCTCACGGGCTTCCCAGGTTATTTTACTGACTTTTGGCAAATGGTAGACACCTGACAGCGAGATGGTCTTCCACAAACACTTGAAATAGTCCTGCTGAGGGAAGAGGCCCGGGTGGGAGTCGGGGGCCCTGGACAGGTCTGCTGGGGATCTGGGTCCTCCTCCATAGGGACACAGTTGGACAATGGGGCATCACTTGAAAGCACGAATGTAAAGGAGTCGATCCTTTCTGGTCCCAGTGGGCTGATACAAACAGTACTGCAAGGCTAACCCAGGTCTCCTGCTCTCCTGCGTTTCCTTTAAAAGGGGCCTAGGAGAGGCAGGGGGAAAGGGATGAATAATTAAGTGCCTAACTACACAGGCCAGGGCCAGTAGCCTCCCAGGCCCGGCTCCCAGACCCAGGTAATTATTCCTCATCAGGCTGAAACCAAGAGGGAGTGGCAGATGCATTTTCTTTCTTCTTGACTTCCCCCCACATCCGGTTCTACCAGGTCTGGGCCTTTGACTTTGCCTTGGGCAGAAGCCCCCACTTCTCCAGGGGATGCCCTGGCTCCAGCCACTGTTCCTGGGGCTGCCCCTGGTCTAGGGGCTGCAGCTTCGGTCTGTTCCACACACAGCGCCCAGGGGGTCTGCCGTGAGCAGAGGCTACTGTTCATGCATACCCAAGTGTCAGTTAGGACTTGGCCGCAGGGGTCTGGCACTAGATGTGACCGCTCCTGCTTCGCACCATCTCCCCCCCTTCCTGTAGCAAGACAAACTGGCTCTGTGTACCCACAGAGCTTCTGCGCGCACTGCCCACAGCCTCGGGGCGGGGGGCACACTCAGGTGCTACTTTGTTCATCAGACCTGGCCGAGAAGCAGGGAACTCTTCTTCGCTGTACGATTCCATTCCAGATTTGTCCTTTGGTTCTGGTCCCCAATGTCCTATTGTGCAGGTGACGCTGATTCTCCTGCAATGAGACCAGGAGGTAAAGAAGGTTCCTTGGCTCTCAGATATCCATCTTGTTGTGCAAGTAGGCAAAACACCGGATAAAAAGACCAAGAATAGTAAGAGTAGAAGGAACTGAGAAGAAAAGCAGTCGCACAGGAAAGGGGTGGATAGCACCCCAGGGCCCTCCATAGCCACCGGCAGGGACCTGGGGGTGACATCAGCAGAAGATTAGGTGGCTGATACAAAGACATTAGATTGGGATTTGCGATATCAGCTCCACATCAAAAGTTGGGCGCAAAGGCCAGCGCCCAAGGCGTAGCCGGTTAAGCCGCCACCTGCAGCACCGGCATCCCATATAAGCGCCAATTCCAGTCCTGGCTGCTCCAGTTCTGATCCAGCTCCTGCTAATGTGCCTGGGAAAGCAGCAGAAGACGGCCCAAGTGCTTGGGCCCCTGCACCCACGTGGGAAAACTGGAGGAAGCTCCTGGCTCCCCTGCCCAGCCCTGGCCATTGTGGCCATTTGGGGAATGAATCAATGGATGCAAGATCTCTCTCTCTCTCTCTCTCTCTCTGTCTCTCTCTCTCTCTCTCTCTGTAACTCTCTTTCAAATAAATAAGTAAATCTTAAAAAAAAAAGTTGGGAGCATCAAGAAGATGCTGGTTCCAGGACTCCCGAGATATCAAAACCTGCAGATACCCAAGTCCCTTGTATAAAACAGCACAATATTTGTACAGAACCTGCGCATACCCTCCTATGCATTTTAAATCATCTCTAGACACCTTATAAGACTTCATACAATGTCAGTACTATGTGAGTAGTTGTCACACTGTATGGTTTAAGGATTAGTGACAAGAAAAAAAAATCTCCAACTGTTCAGCACACAAGTCTCCTTTTCTCAGTGTTTTCCATCTGTGGTTGGTTGAATGTGCAGACACACAGCTCGCACATAGGGAGCCCGTGGGCACAGGGGACCACTGTGGGTGACATCCAGCCACAGAGAATGGCTTTGCGAAGCTATGCATTTAACTCGGGCCCTGCTGACCTTCCTTTCCTCATTGCTAGTTCCTTTTTCTTTCCCTCCAGCAAGTCCCTATTCATTCCTTCATATACTGCAGGTGCATCTCTGTACCACACGAGTTCTAAGTCCGACGGTGACATCCATGACCAAGACCAACAACCATGTCTGACCCTGTGATTGTTACATCCTTAGCAAAATCATTTCTGTCTGTTCCGGGGAAGGAGGAATCACCCCACAGAGAATAGTGGGTCTTATTGCTAAGAAGTGACATCTGACAAAAAAACGAAAGCTGGTCCATGAAAAGCTCGAGAGAACACTTTGCTTCCCTGTTCCAGGCACCGTCCCCAAACCAGCCAGCCCGCTGGGCCTGGTGTCTTTCAGCAAGACCTATTATTCTGCCCTCACCTGAGGGACTGGCAGACCAGCTGCCCAAACAGGAAACCATATATAATCCTGTAACCCTGACCTTGGGCCCCGGCTCTTCCCCTCCCGTAAACAGTCCATTCAACCCAGGAAGACCCAGGGACCTGGCCAGGACACATTTTTGCAAAACATACACATTGTTACAAATGTTGGGGAAAAAAATCCCTAGGTCAAGGAGGAAGTGATGTATCTGAGTCAGTGGTAGAAATCACTTCATCAAGTAATGGAACAAATGGAAATTTAATCCCAACCGATGAAACTGCCAGGCTGTCATTTGTGTGTGTTTGTGAGTCGTTTGTGATGACTCAATAGCACCTGTTGGGAAGGCTGGGAAAATGAGCCGTGAAATCCTGATCGCGTTCCCTGCTGGAAACAACACCCCTCCCAGCTTTGCAAATCAGTAAACCCAATGTTCTCAACACCCTTGGATTCATCAAGGGAGCCCTGGTTCTGTGAAGGCTGTTTTGTGTTGTGGTTGTTGTTTCTGGTCCAAAGATTCTTACTCAGAGCCCCAGGTTTTTCATCTTTAGTATTAAATAGTCTGGGCACATACTAGCCAAATGTCTACTTTCAAGGTACTCTTTTGAAATCCCTGTTCAGACAACAATTGGTTTTGCATATGGCAACCTTCAGTTTCTTAATATTTAACTGATTGCCAAGTCACATTAAAAGTCCACATTAAAGTTTTAGCCCCTGGAACTAAGCCTTCTAAAATGACCCTGCCCCCTACACACATCATTTAACGTTCTCTAATTTAGTTAATGAATGGAACTTTCTGAAGAGAGCAGTAGCTTTGATCTGAACCTCCTTCTTGGTTTCCAGTGAACATTTCCAGAGGGAGGTGCAAGGGATGTCCTCTCTCAGAGCACTAGTGGCAGCTCCCAAGCACACGGTCTCCACGAGAGAGCAAGGCGCACCCAGGAGGAGGGAGGCAAGTTGAAAATGCTGCCCTTGGCGTTTTTGTGGGTGTTTGCCCCACACAGAGATAAAAGAGTTAAGGTGAGGTGTGGAGGCATGCTCTCCGGGAAGCTGAGCCTGCACTCTGGAAACCTGAAGTAATCCTGGCAAACAGGCTGCCTGTCAGCGGCAGCACGAACTAGCAGTGCTTCTGGACCTGGGAGAAGGTGTCTGGGTATGCAGTACAAATCTAGACAACCCGCAAGTGCAGGAATCCTTGGTTACTCACCCTCACTGCCATCCACCCAAGCCTTGGGCTGTAAAGGAAATCCTGGGTGGAAATAGCACAGCTGTTCTTGCTTTGCAACCTGCCACCTTAAATATATATATATATATATACACACATATATTATCCCAGCTGCTGCTTCCAAATAAAAACAAAAAGCCAAACCCCAGCCTCAACCCAGAAAAAAAAATTTTTTTACCCTGCAGCTAGGGTTAAATTTTTGTTACGATGCTAAGTTTAAAAAAAGCAAGACGTTCCGATTCTTGACTTAGGCTTTTCTTTTTTAGAAGAAAAGGCGAGCCAAAGGTGTCCACCCCTTCCCACCGCCGCGCTTACCTTGAAATGGAACCGCGGATTTCGGAGTCCATAAGTGTTGTTCCGGCCTTGGCCACAAGGGGACACTCGAGAGTCGGACTGCCCGCCGCTAGACTTTGTTTTCTCAAGACTCTGGGGCGGGAGGGTGCGGGGGTGGTGATGGAGAGGCAGCTGGCGTGAAAAAAAAAATTCATTTGTCCCCTGAAATTCTGCCACTTGCCGTTTTGTAAGTCAAAGGTTGCCACGTTACCTGTTGCCAGGTTCCTGAAAGTGCTGGGGGGAAATGTGGGCGAGCGAGGCGCTGCACAAAGTCCTCGGCTCTTTTAACTGGGCTGGCGCTGACATTTGCAGAGCAGCTGCTCGGCATTGTTTGGTTGTAGTTCTAACAGAGGAGTGGCCGCCTCTTACATCATTTCCAGGCATCAAGTGCCTGGGGCTTTTTATTTTTGCTTTTTTTTAACGACTCTAACTTTCTGATCCCGCCCTTGCCTGGATTTCTGTACAGTACACGCACTGTGCACAAACAGCCTCACCTCAGGAAGCCCGAGTTTTGTAGCAACTTGTTAAAACAACTTCGGTGCCTCTTAAAAAAAAAAAAAAAAAAAGTTGTGACTCTGAAACAAACCTGCCCAGTCTTCCCTCCTGAGAACAATATCCTGTTTGATCAGCGCCCCGGCTGGCTCTCCCCAGAAGAGGCGGCTGCTGCTATCAGTTGAATAGATCTCCAAGCCAGACATGCCGAGGCTTGGGGCATTTGTCTGGCATTAGGAAGCGTCTGGAATACCAGTAACTCCCGGGCAGCCCTGCTCCGCCCGGGAGAGCGGCCGCCCCGCCCCGCCCCGCCGCGGCCTCGCCGCCGCCCTCCCACTCGCACACAGCCAGCCCTTTCTACTTTGGGGGAGAAAGATGAGCTTGTCATCTTTGTGGTTTCCGTGGAGGGTGGCTTCAGTGGAAGTCATTCTCCCAGCCACCTCCCCGGAGCCAGCACTGCGCGGGAGAGGCGGCCCGGGGTGCCCTGTGTCCCACAGAAGTCTCCGCGCCGCCCGGCAGCCGCCGACCACCGCGCCCTGGGTGGCCCGCCGTGGGAAGCTGTAAATATTTTGGAACAAGGTAGTGGTTTTTCCATGTGCATTTTGTTCTGTGCAGTTTCTTTCTGAAATATTTTATTTATTTGAAAGGCAGAGAGAGAAACAGTTCAACAGAGAGCTTCCATCTGCTGATTCACTCCCCGAATGCCCCCAACAGCCAAGGGCTGGGCCAGGCTAAAGTCAGCAGCTGGGAACTCAATCCCCGATCTCCCACATGGGTGGCAGGGACCCAGCTACTTGAGTCATCTCCGCGGCTTCCGGGGCACACTCTAGCAGGAAAGCTGAAATCTGGAATCAGAGTGACACCGGGACAGTCCCAGGCACTATGACGTGAGATAAGGGTGTTGCAAGCAGATTACAACCACTGTGCGCTGTGTGCTTCCTGCAGTATATTAAAAGTTGCAGCAGGTGCACCCTTCCTTTGTTGGCCTCTCCAGATGCGTCCCTTCTCTAGACCCTGCATGAGTCTACGGGGTGCTGAGCATTGGGCGTCGAGGGGTCACTCCTGGGAAGCTCAGGCCCTGCTGGATAACTGGGAGGTGATGGAGGTGGTTTGAGTTCTAATGAGATGGGATTTGGAACCCTGAGCATTCTGTCACTTAGTGGTATACGACTTAGGGACCTCTGTTAGCTGCTCTGAGCCTTAGTATTTCCATCCGTGAGATGGGAATGGTGCTGTCGTCTCGCGTGAGGTCATGTCTGTTAAATTCCTAGCTTGGTGTCCAGTACCGGGGAAGGATTTGCTCCCTGGAGATGCGGGACACCTGATAGCACATCAGGGGGCTGAACTAACTCTCCATTGGCTGTCTTTGCTGCTGCCCTAGGTGGTGCTTGTGTTAGCCAGGTTTTCATTACTACAGCGAAACCTCTGAGATAAGCTACTTAGGAAGAAAGGAGTCTTATTATGGCTCATGGTTTTGGAGGTTCACAATCCAAAATGGGGTGGGCCCTGTTGGTCCAGCCTCTGATGGCTTTCCTGCCGCCAGGGTCCCCAGAGGGAGCCCACATGTGTCTGTGTCTCTCTTTACAAAGCCGCCATGATTCCCTGTGGGAGTCCCACACCCTAGCAGCCTAATCCAAACTCATCACATCCCCAAGGCCCAGCTTCTAAACACAATGATTAGCTTAGGCTTCTACCCTCTTAGTTCCATTAACATCAGACTTTGAGGCCCCTGTTGGAGGACATTCAACATCCCAACCAGTATCCAGCCCAGCATCGTCTTCCCAGTGAAGGCCTCAGGCCAGACCACTGGTCCTTCTGGCATTTGACAGGGGAGTCCGGCCTGTGCCGACTTTAACGTAAAGAGCATGACCTGGGCTAGCTTTTGTGTCCCAGCAGGTTAAGCCGTTCCTAGGGACATTGACATCACATATCCGAGTACATCCTGGGAGGCAGCAGGTGACAGTTCAAGTACTTGGTCCCTGCCACCCATGTGGGAGACCCAGATGGAATTCCTGACTCCTGGCTTCAGCCCAGCCCTGGCTGTTATGGCCATCTGGTTAGTGACGCAGCAGATGGAAGATCTCTCTCTCTCTCTTTCAAACAAGTAAAAATAAATGAATAAATAACTTCAAAAAGAAAGAAAAAGAAGCATGACCTTCGCAGCTCATGGTTAGGTGACAGGTCAGTGGATCTGCTTGGCCGGAAGCAGCAGCAGCAGCAAACTGCTCTGTTAGCTGTGGTGCCCTCCTGGGTGCCAAAATGCTGTCCAGGAGCCACAGCATTCATCCCTGCCCCCAAAGAGCCTCCAGGGTAACTCTCCCCTTGGTCACTTTTTGGCTTCCTTCTTGGGTTATTTTGCATCCTTCTCTATGGGATCCTGCTTCTCAGATTCCTTTCTAGATTTCTTTCCTATTTCTAAAGTCACAGGGGCTCCGGTTTGGAAGACTTGGTCTTGTCACTGGGTCCAGCCTCCTACCAGACATTGCTACCTTTTCTCTAACTTCCAGCCAGAAGATGAGCTGCTCATGAACGCCTTCAGAAGCTATGAATAGCGTCCTTGTGTTCTATCTGTGGGACATCTGTCCACCACCGAATTGTTCTTGCTGTGTCTCCCTGCGTGGTTTTCCTAGGGGCCTTACCCAGAGCAAGTCCCCCCCATCCTCCACACGACTGCCCTCAAAATCACCGAAAACACTGCTCTCTCCCTTGTCTTCCAAATGCCCCTCCATACACCACTCTGCGCTCCTAAGATGCAGTTTCCTCTCCTCTCTCTTCCTAGCATCCTGCCTCTTCCTCTTAAAGAGAGGTGCCCAGGTGAAGTGTGGGGCTAGGCTCCTGCTGTCCAGCTCACACCCGCCTTTCCAGACACCGGAGGATCTGCCCTTCCTTAGTCTGCATTTCCCGGATCACTCCTTCCCTGTTAGGCTTTTTCTCTTTTAACCTCTTCACGTCATTTCGCGCTCTGAAATAGGCTTCACTTTTTTTTGTTTGTTTGTTTTTGTTTTTTTGTTTGTTTGTTTGTTTTTTTGACAGGCAAAGTTAGACAGTGAGAGAGAGAGAAAGGTCTTCTTTCTGTTGGTTCACTCCCCAAATGGCCGCTACGGCTGGAGCTACGCCGATCCGAAGCCAGGAGCCACGTGCTTCTCCTGGTCTCCCACGCGGGTGCAGGGCCCAAGCACTTGGGCCATCCTCCACTGCCTTCCCGGGCCACAGCAGAGAGCTGCACTGGAAGAGGAGCAACCAGGACTAGAAGCCGGTGCCCATATGGGATGCTGGCGCTGGAGGCGGAGGATTAACCAAGTGAGCCACGTCGCCGGCCCGAGGCTGCACTTTCAGATTAGCTCTCTAATATGTTCCCTATTCATAAAGATTTTATTTTATTATCTTATTTGAAAGGCGGAATAATAGAGAGACAGGGAGGTCTTCCATCCGCTGGTTCACTCCCCCAAATGGCCACAATGGCTGGACCTGGGTCAGGCTGAAGCCAAGAGCCAGGAGCTTCACCTGGGTCTCCCACATAAGTCGTAGGGCCATCTTCCAGTGCTTTCCCAGGTGTGTTAGCAGGGAGCTGGATCAGAAAGGGAGCAGCCAGGACTCAAATCAGTGCTCCTATGGAATGCCAGCATCATAGGTAGTAGTTTAAACCGACTACGCCAAGATGCTGGCCCCAGGAGTATGATCTTCAAGTCACCTGCACTACCTCTGGTTTTGCAGATGTTCCACATCAGTGCTTTTCCCACTGTCATCTGGTGAGAGACCAGTTTGTTTGACCTTCAGCCTTTTGCATAGCAGTGTTTTGGTAAAATGAAGCAAAAAAAAAAAAAAAAAAAAAAACAACCTACTAGATAAAAAGAAATTAAACAAAGCATACAAAAAAAATAAGACTTGTGTCGTCTTTATTTTTTAAAGATTTATTTTTAGGTGTTTGAAAGGCAGAGAGAGAGAGAGAGAATCTTCCATCTGCTAATTCACTCCCCAAAATGGCTGCAACAGCTAGGGTTGGGCTAGGCTGAAGCCAGGAGCCAGGAGCTTTTTCCGGGTCTCCCACATGGGTACAGAGGCCCAGTTATTGGGGCCATGTGCTGCTTTCTCAGGTACATCAGTAGGGAGCTGGATTGGAAGTGAGGCAACCAGGACTTGACCCAGCACCCATATGAGATAGTGACACTGCCGGTAGCAGCTTTACCCCATAGGCCACAATGCCTGCCCCCCACCGCCCGTTGTTTTTTTTTTTTTAAATTTATTTTATTTATTTGATATTTATTTGACAGAGTTATGGGGGGGTGCTGGATATATAGAGAGAAATCTTCCATCTGCTGGTGCATTCTCTAACTGGCCACAGTGGCCAGAGGTAGGCCACGCCAAAGCTAGGAACTTCATCTGGATTTACCAATGGGTACAGGGGCCCAAATACTTGGGCCATCCTCCACTGCCTTCCCAAGTGCATTAGGAGGGAGCCCAGTGCGGAGTAGAGCAGCTGGGACCTGAATTAATGCCCATCTGGGTTATTGGCATTGCAAGTGGGGGCCTAACCCAGGACACCACAACATTGGCCCCTGTGTTTTCTTCTTATGAAAATCAGCAGACTAAACACTCTGTAAAATTGCTATACAAGTTTCTAGAATCTTACTCTCGGTTTTTATAGAATTTCTCATCAAGTACTGTAACAAATAGAGTAGCTTGTAAACTGGCATCATTCTGAGGATAATACTTTTTTTTGTGTATGTGTGGGTTACTTTATTTTTTTCCCAAAGAAACTTTATTTAGTGAGTACAAATTTCATAAGTACAACTTCAGAAATATAGTGATTCTTCCCATCATACCTGCCCTCCTGCCCCCACTCCCAACCTACCTCTTCCTCTCTCTCCCAATCTCAGTCCCATTCTCCATTAAGGAAAAAAAAAAAAAAAAAAAACCTGTTCTTGACATTCAAGACAAGGGTTGTTCAAGTCAAAGTGTTCTCAAAGTGTCAATTTCACTTCTACAGATTTCCTTTTAGGTGCTCTATTAGTTATCACAGATCAGGAAGAACATACGGTATTTGTCCCTTTGGGACTGGCTTATTTCA